AGTTTGTTCCATTGACTTATTTTCTTTGACTTTATATTTTCTTTAACTGTTTTTTATCATACGTCAGTTGTTTTGACAGGTGATGTAATAATTTGCTTTAGAGGAAGAAAATTTAGTAAATTTAAGTGTTAACATTTGTATGAAGTTGATGCATTTAAGTTACTTTATTCAGATAAATTCTGTTAACACATTTTAAATCGATAAAAAAAATGCTGCATATGAGTGTAATATACTTACTAGTTTTAAATACAATTAACTTAATTTAACTTACCAGTTACTTGTACTAAATTCAAATATTTGTTCATGCTTATATTGTTGAATTTAACACATTTAAACTAGTTAAACTGTTTACAGTGTGTCCAAAATAACTGCGATTTACCATTCTATCACAATATTCATCAAAATACAATGGTAGCAAGATCAAGCCAAGCCTTCGGGGGCCCTGGTGCTGTCTCGCTAATCTTGTTTCATCCAGTCAAACTCACCGGTGGCTCATCTCCAGCTGCCAGAACCATCAGGCTGACCTTCAGGTAACCTTTGACCCCAGCAGAGAGGTCGTCGGGGTCACACAGCAGCAGCCATTTCCTCAAGAAGCAGTGTCCTAAAGAGAGGGGGGGTCGGGCTTATACTCAGGACCATCAAACTAACCAATAACGTACTGGAAGCAAGAACTCTCTGAGCTCCTCCATACACACAAACACAACTATAAAATTAAATCACCAATAAAACACATAAAAGTAAACTCACTGTGCTCGTTGTAGACGGTGCCCACATCCAACTGTAAAAAATATCACAAGATTTTACATTGTTTTGCTTTTGATTTCGCTTCTTTTCTTGGCTGTATGTGCCAGAAATCCTGATTACAGAACAAACAGCGCACTAGTCGGTATAGTCAAACTTGCTGATTTGAATGTTTCTGATAAACTGAAGGATGAAGAAACGTTCCTACTTTTAAGCTAAATGAACTATTCAAAAATCCTCTCGGATTAGCTGGAAAATGCATCGCTGCAAACCTGAAGTTGACTATTTAGTGACAAATAATTCTCAAACATATGATGATCTTATATAATATGATGCATTGGCTGTAGATTAAACTACCCAAAAGTAGTTTAAGCTCAGCTTTATACATCTACAGCAGTAAAATGCAACATACACATAAATGCAGCTCTAAAAACATCAGATATAATAGTAAAACACTGACAGGGAACATTTTATTGCCACTTTTACTCATGAAAAGTATGTTTGTCGGTTGGAGCACTGAAAGTTTACCTTGAATTCGCCGATCACAGCATCAGTTCTGAGTGAGCGAGAGTCACACACCTGTCAGGCAAAGAGAGAGAGTTTTATCAAGAGCAACTTACACAACAGGAAAAAAAATACTGAGGAATATTCTGAAAGAAACAAAATGGAAGTAAAATAAAATCAGACTCACGGTGATGAAGATGGGTTCATCAAACAAGTCTGATGGAGTCTCAAAGAAGTTCAGGAAGAACGTCTGTTTTGACGGAGAAAGATATTTAGATATTTAACTCAGTTATACTCACTGTTGTCTGGCACATTATTTAAACTCCCAGATCATTCTTGTTTACCTCGTCAAAGACCGGGTTGTTGCCCTTTCTGATGCGGGTCCTCTTGGTCTGCCCGGCGACCGTTACCTTGACAACAGGCTTGATGTTGATGCCCGGCAACTGTCGTCCCTCGATGACCCTCACACGAACCTGGACAGGGAGAGTATAAGCGTATGTAAGGTGTATAAAAGTAACTTTTTTAGTGACATTCAGCAAATAAAGTGTGTACTATTTAGGACAATACATTAATTATCAGGAACAATCATCGTGAATTGATCAGGTTACGATGTGTTCGAAGGCCACTGTTTTAATGGTTCCCAGTCTGTTTAAGAAATCATTTTCCAGGACCTTTTCAAAAACGTCATAAACATAATTTACCAGTAGGGGGAAACATTAAACAACATTTTCATTCCTCCTTTTTTTAATAATGTAAATTTGATCATTAATAGGCTGTATGCATGTAGATAAAATATAAACTAAAATAATGGACTCGATGCCAAGGGGCTTTTCCAGACTTTATTGACTGGGGGGACATGAAGTGTGTGTCTCAGCTTTCCAGTCATTCCCATTTTCTGCTTTTCCAACACTGTTTATGGACTCCTGTATGCAGAAATATTCAAATATACTAGGGGAAAATAACACATTTATACCACACGCAAAAAACTGCATGGTTCTTTCCCCAAAAACTGTTTAAATTAGCATAAAGTGTCCCATTTTCATTCAGATATGTTAAGATCAGAGGTCAAGAGATCCCTTTGAAAATGGCCATCTGCAAAATGTTGCCAAAGCGTTATTTAGCTCCCTTCCCAACATGCTAGTATAACATGGTCCATGAATTCACTCCTACTCTGACAGTGTGGGGTGAAAGAGGTGAAGATAGATTTCAGGGGTGGCAAAAGAACACTTCTTATTTAAAAAGAAAAAGCAACTTCTCGTAGGACTGATGACCTTTCTAAACTCCAGGCTATGACCCTGAATGCTACCTGTATGTCCTGTGGTTTGTTTGGCAGTGGTTTGTGCTGACTGCTGGCTCCTCTCCTCCTCTTCCTCAGCCCTCCATGGGTGTTGTAGGATGGCGGCGAGCGTTTAGGTGTCTGGGCAGTGGGCGATTCATGGCCCGAGGGCCCCTGAGGACCGACGATGACCATGGAGCGTCCGTCATCGGGACCCTGGTCCTCTGTCGGCTCCAGCATCATCATACTCTCTGTATCCTCCTCGCCCAAAGTGTCCAGAGAAATCACTGCACAGACAGACAGGTTGACAGAAACTCGTCCCAGAAGGAAAATACAGAACAAGCCGATACAAATCCACTATAAACTAATTATATTACCTGTGACTGTGTCCAGCTCTACATTGGGGTTGTTATGGGGCAGAGCCTCAGGCTGGTGAGGAGGCTGGAAGACTGGAGCCGATCCTGGAGGAGGGATGTAGGAAACCTGCAGGGTGAGCGTGGCCTGGTGGAGACAGAAAGCACAGTTGTGATGATTTAAAATCAGTGTTGGTAAAGAAAGAGCAAAGGAGAGGAGCTCAATGTACGAAACTGACAACAAAACGGAGCTGTTGGATTGTACATGAAGTTATAGTTTCCAAAAAGTGGATGGATTAAGGGAACACGCTTGACCCTGAGCAAACTTCTACTATTCAGCAGAAGTTGCGTTGTACTGTTGTTAAAGGGTGTGTGGACCAGTAAAAGGTGTAGTCTTCTGCAATTTCCTTTAACAGGAAAAAGCAAGTTGAGTGATACGCTGTAATGTTTCTGTAAACAAAGATATTAGAGTCTGTGTGTACAGCAGCCACAATATCTGTTCAACAGGTTTATGATACAGTCAGGTACTCCTCGCCGTGCAGCTCATGTGGAGTGAAGTGTTGGGTTTAAAGAACGACTTAACTCGTGAAATGAAGTCTTAAGTTAAAACTACCATCCTCCGTGTGTGTGTGTGTGTGTGTGGGTGTGTGTGTGTGTGAGACATCAATCAGATCCACTCTGACACTGAGAGGAAGTGTTTGTTTTGGGTTCAGGAAAGGAGGATGGGAAAAAGAATGTTGTTTCATCTGCTGCTCGATAACAGAAGATGACAACAGGTGTGGCCCAACAAGGTGTGTGTACAGGCGTCTGTGTGTGTGTGTGTGTGTGTGTGAAAAAGAAAAAGACAAGCAGTGTTTAAACACTCATATTTCTTTTCAAAAACATTTACAGAGGCAGCCCAACACACAGTATGTATAAAGGGAATCTGCAGCAGTCAACAGCTGACTCAATGCCAACATTTATTGACTGCCAGATTTAAACATAATCCACCCCGAGAGGAAGAAAGACCACAAATAAAGTTGATGTTATTCATTCATTTAGCCACTTTTCTGTATAAAAAGACTGTAATCGTGTAACCTAATAATTATTGTATTTATATGTGAATTAGAATTTCTGTTTAATTACCTTTGATTGTTCGAACCGAGAGGCTTAATTGTTTCATTAGTATATACACAATACTTTTCAAAACCACCACAGTCCGTTCAGGGCATCGCTGCAGTCACATGCATTAAATTTAATATTCCTAAAACATCGAAGTGATGTCTGTGCAACTTTTTCCAACAAGTTCCAGCATTTTTATAGAATCAAGTCATGTGTTTTCCTGTTTTGATCTCATTCTCGTTTATTTTACTACTTTATTCCAGCTACTTAAACAGCAACACAAACAGCAGTGGAACAAATGTAATCAGATTAAAAGTGATAAATGAGAGAGAGCCTGAGAGGTGTGTGGTTGTTATTCTGCTCTGACTCAGGAAAGTCTGGATTTATTTTAAGATCCAGACAGGAAACTCTGATTTATGATTTGTCATTGCTTCATGATACAATGAGACTGTAAATCTATATGTGTCTGTGTGTGTGTGTGTGTGTGTTGTGTGTGTGTGTGGTGTTGTGTTTGTGTGTGTGCGCGCGCTCACCCTGTGTTGTTTCTCTTTGGTGTCCAGCAGGGGGAGACGTGGGAAGGAGGCAGCGAAGTTGGGAGAGTTGAGCACATCTCTGGAGAGACAAGGCCGGGGTTTCCCCAGAAACTATGACACAAGACACACACCAACGGCACACCAGCAT